TGAGTCTTAGAAACAGAGATCACAGGAAGAGAAAAGAATGAAGAAGAGATTAAAAAGTATCTTTCTACTCATCACAGTTCCATCATAGCCAAAATTATGGAAGAGGAAAACCTCAGTGGTCTTGATTTTTGCCCCTTCTCACTGGAATAACTTTCTCAGACACGTCCTAGTGCTCAAGAATAAGCCACACTATAAAAAGATCTACTATTTATCTCCCCCACTAATCATAACTTTAATTCTTAGTTGTCTCCAGATAATTGATATGTCTGTACCTTATATATACATGAATATAACTCACAGGTATGCATATACACACACACAGAATTGCATTACATATGTGTCTAAGCACCATTCTAAGAGCTGGTGATATAGCATTGAGAAAAGAACAAGGCTTCTGCTCCCATGAAGCTTACATTTTAAGTGGGGAGGGCTAGACAATAATAAAATCCAAAAATAAATAAACAAACAAAAAAAATCCAGAAGGTAATAAATACTGTACAAAAAGAGAGTGAGATAAAACAAGATAAGTGCATGACCACATCCCATTTGGTGGTTAGAAAAGACCTCTTTGAAGGTGTCATTTCAGATGAGATATAATTGAAGACAAAGAGCCAGTCCTGTGTATATGAAGGGAGGAAGCATGTTAGATAGCTAGTGAAAACCCTGAGAAAGGAGCGAACTTGGTTCATGGAGGATAGAAATTAGGCTGGTGGGTGCAAAAACCAGTGGGCCAGGAGGAAAACAGAATGGAAATACAGACAGGAGCCAACTTACACAGGTCTTTGAAAGTCAGAATAATGCTTTTGCAGTTTATCTTAAGTGAAATAAGCCATTAGAAGAGTGTGGTCATATTTACATCTTAAAATGACCTGTAGCAGAAGCAGGGAGACTGATAGGAGGCTACTGTGGGAGTTTGGGTGGGAGAGGATGAATGTCTGTATAGACCAGGATGGTGGCAGTGGAAAGACAGCTAAGTGGGTCTGATTGTGCTTTTTAGGAAGGATCTGCAGGACTTATAAATGGAAAGATTAGGGGGAGGAGGAAAAAGGAACCAAGGACACCAGGGGGGATTATGATACTGTTCTCCTGAGAAAGGCAAGATCTGGAAAGAATAGGCTGGATGGAAGGATAAGGCCGTTGGCCAGTAGGAATCAACAGTTCTGTTTTGAATATAGTAATTCTGAGCTGCAAATTACACATCCAGCATCAATATAGGAAAGGAAGTTACTATATGAATCTAGCACTCAGGGGAAAGTTGAGGCCGGAGCTATGCATTTGGCAATCATTGGCATATAGGTGACAATTAAACCGTGGGGACTGATATCCAGGAAGGGAGTATGGACCAGAAGGAAAAGAGGGATGGAGACCAGTCTCCAGCTTACTCCAACATTGAAAAGTTGGAATGGATTGTTAGAGAAGCCTCTTCCTCCAGACAGACAGGTTTGAAGAATGATGATTCAGGATAAAAAGGCCCTTCCAGTACCGATAGATACGGGTCTTCAAGCTCCTGGAGCATCAGAGATGGGGGGTGAGAGATGACCTTTATGAGTCCTTCTCCGCCAGTTGATCATAATGAGAATTTGTTACCAGCTGGTAGGAGGAAGCAGCTCCATCTCACTCAAAAAAATCTTAAGCCTTTTTCCATATATTTTGAACAGTATGCTAAAAAATACTTTTAATGGGATATGCAGATTTTAAATCCTGCCTTGTGGCAGGAGGGCTAGCAGGTGGGGCGGGGGGAGGTTCATTGCCCATCTGTCCATTCAGTCTAAGGAGCTGAGAGTCTTATGTAGAAGGAGACAGCAGCACATCAGACACCAGGCAGGAGCCCTTCTATTTTAGGAAAAGTGCCAGGACATCAGCTGAGAGAAGCTGGGCCCCAGGACCAATGCTGATTGATGGTAGGCTGTAAACCAAGAGAATTAGTTTGCTTTCTTCTTCTTCTGCCTATAGCAACTGGGCTTTGTCATCCAGAAACAATAGCATCATTTTCATTTTTAGAAGTCAAAGGATGTAATAAAGCATGCTCTGAATCTTTGGGGTGGAAGAACAAAGTCAGAAATATTATGTTCATCTAGCATATTGTTCAATTTTCCGAGCTGTTTTTGGGAAAAAAGTCTTTTTATATAGATACGATTATCTGAGATTACCTGAGAATATATTGTTTGGGGAGCGTGCTGCACAGTTAATATTGCAGCAAATTACAGAATTCTTCCAATAATAGAGCAAAGAGATCCATACCCCAATGGGAAGCATTTCTGGCAGTATAGGGAAACCATTTCTAAAACTAATGATTCTGTTGTATTCTTCCCAAAGTGGTTTTCTTACCTCTTGATGTCTCTACCTGGGTTCTGAGTTAGCTTTAAGCGTCAGAACGAGTGACTCCCCTAACATTAAGGTCAGCTATAATCCACATTTCATGTAATAGGGGAAAAAGTGGGTTTTAATCATATGGCTGCCACAATTTTCAAGAGCTTATTAAAACAAGAGATACCCAGATACATTTGGACAGACTGGCAGTTAGATAAAGCAGTCAGTTGGTGGGTTTCAGAGAAGAGGCACTGGGGAATAAGAAAATACTTTCAGGAATGAGAAATTTGATCTCTTCAGAGAATTTCTCTTCAGAGAAAAGTATTTTTTATCCTTTTGAAAAGAAGAAATGCATTTGATAGGCAGAATGGCAGGCTGATTTGGGATAACTATCACAAGAGACCTAATTTTGCCTTTATTATCATAATTTGCACATATTCTCCTTAGGGGTTAAACCCACAGCCAACAGTGTGTGCTAACTTGAACACCATTTGATGCAGTGACTTAAGCCTTACGGAGAGTGGACCCCAAAATATATTTTCCTGTACTAATCTCAGGTAGAAGCAATGGACAGCCATGATGTTTAGTTCCTTTGGTTTTATATATATTCTCTAAACAAAACAATTTAAGATACGGATTTTTTTTTTTTTAATGAAACAGGATCTTGGTATGTCTCCCTACCTATTGGGTATAATGGCATGAGCATAGCTCACAGGAACCTCAAACTCCTGGGCTCAAGTGATCCTCCTGCCTCAGTCTCCTGAGTAGCCAGGACTACAGGCATGCCACTATCCTTGGTTAATTTTTCTATTTTTGTTTTAGATTTTTCTATTTTTAGTAGAGAAAAGGCCTCACTCTTGGTCAAGCTGGTCTTGAACACCTGGCTTCAAGCAATTCTCGCACTTCAGACTCCCAAAGTGCTAGGATTACGGGGTGAGCCACCATGTCTGGCCCTAAGATATGAATGTTTTAACTTTTTCTTCCTCTCTTATAAATTTCTGTTAAATTTTGGGAAAAAATTGAGAGGAAAGACCAAACATGGAGCTGTTGGAACACAGGTGGGGTTGAGAAGGGGTCTGCAGTCCTCTGAGGATCAACAGTGAACTGGGGACTTGGAATGCCTTGCTCACTGAGACGGGAGGAAGGGTGCTCTCTGAGTCTGCTGTCTCTGCCCCCATTGCCTCAGCAGGACACTAAAACCACAGGGGCCTCTAACTCGGAACCCCCTCGTGGTTGGATAACACCATGTGACCAGGAGAAATCTGGACACTTCCTTCACGGTCACTCAGGGCAACTCAGGGTAAGGGATAAAGTATTCAGATGTATACTGGTCACATAATTCTAAATTATTCAACATAAACGATTATCATGAGAGCTACTGTTTAATTAAATTCCTTCTGTGTCCCAGATGCTTTACTAGATGCACCATTGATGGGTGTTTTGTTCAAGCCTTACCACAATTATGCATGTTAAGGATAGTTATCCCTGTTTTACAAATGAAGAAATTAAGACTTGGGAAGGTGAAGTAATGGTCACATTCGCAGAGGTGGTGGCTGTCTGAAGAACAGCTTGTGAATCCCAGTGGAAAGAAATACAGGACTTTAACTGTAATTGATCCCAGCCTTAAACTGAAAGCCGCGGCTGCCAATGATGGCAAGTTTTCACAGAAACCCTGGTGTCCATCTGAGGGCTAAGATGAGGGAGGACAGTGGGCAGTGAATAGCACCAGGGTCAGAGCTACATTTGCTCCAAGTCCTGGCTTTTTTGAAATGCCTGTCCTTGGCCTGCTATGCTGTAGAGAACGCTAGTCTTGTTGCTCAAAGTTAAGGCTACACTCATCCAAGATGCCAACTGGAACTGGGAGTAGGTCCAGAATTTCATGTTCAGAATACTCTGCCATGCACCAGAACAACTTGTGAGCCATAACCCACATTTCTGGGTCTTCTCCCTAGATCTTGCTCATGTTAATGGTGGATCTCAGGCTTTTGCATTTTTTAACAAGCTCCTAGGTAATGCAGGTAACCACCAAAGTTTAAAAATTACTGCTGTCAATATTATGTTTGGGGAGATGATGCCTTACTCAGGAATCTGAATGAACATAATAAACCCCTATTGCTGCTTGGAAGAAGTCACTTTATATAGAAAGCATCAAGGGAGGTGTCCATGAAATGTACACTCGGTCTGCTCACTTTTACCAGCATTACTTTTTTTCTGTCCTGACCAATGTCTATTTTCTTTTTACTTCCATTAATATTGGGGTCAAGAGAATATTTTATCAGGTCTCTAGTAAGTATGTTATGTCATCTACCCAAATGATACGAGCTTCATGGAAATCATCTGAAACTTATGACTATAAAGACAATTCTGCATTTGTGTTTTGTCTTTTTGAAAGTGCTCATTGTAATGGAAGCCGATCTGAAAATCTGTCCATCAAACCCATCTGCTCCCTCCATACAGGCCACGGAGACCCCCTGGGAATGCTTTCCTGTCATCACAGTGAGACTGACCAGCTTTCTAAACTTGAGACATGACATGCCAATGTTCTGGCAGTGACATTATCTCTGTCTCTGGGCTATGATCCTTCCTAGGCTTGGTTTGTTACCACAGCCCTTGAAAGTGTAGGAAAGAAAAAGTCAAGAAGGCACATGAGCGTCTGCTTCTGGGGGGTTAGAAAGGAACACATTCTCTACCTGGCACTGAAGTTCCCAGTGCGACGAACACAACTGCAGTCACAGAATCTTTCAGGCCAATGGTGCAGCCAAAGTGGGAAGCCAGGTCTCCGATGAAAGCTGTCAGTAGGCCGATCATGAGGATGGAGACGATGAAACAGGCCCAGCCGTTCCAGTACTCTGTAGGGGGGACGAAGGCGAAGAGGACCTTCCAGAACACCGTCAGAAAGTGCATCACGTAATCGAAACAGGAGGGCAGCTTTTCCTCCCCACATTCATCGTCATCGTCATCTTCCCCTAGAGAGAAAAGTAGGAAGCACATTTCATCAACATCTGTGCGGCCAGGGTCTTCTCTCCCAGTCTCTTCTTCCCAGACCTCTCATCCCTTCACGCCAAGTGACGGGCAGCTGCAAAAGGTGAGTGAAGCTTAGAGCTTTCCAATTCGTTCTAAAGCTATGGAGACACCTCCTCACTGTGGCCCATGGGCCAGCGGTAACAACTTAACTCCTACCCACTCTGTGTACATGCAATCAACACACCCCTTTTACATTCCTATCACCTCTCGTGAGATTTGTCACTTCAGATAAATGAAAGGGATTTCTTCCAGAAGGTGGGAAATCTTTGTGCTAGGCTGAGAAGGAAGCCTCTTTTCAAGAAGGACAACTAGGAACGGAATTCCACCAGGGCTCTCTCCTTCCAACTTGAAGTCCAGCTCTGGGGATTCACAGTTATATAATCACCTACAGGACAACATCCAAACAAAGTCTGTAATCCCAGGGCTGGGTCTTGTATCTTTCATCAGCTTCACTTCCTGCAACTATTTCAAACTCAAACTTTAGAATTACTTGCAAAATACTTATATGCCCTCAATGAAATTATTTGCATTTTCCCAACTGTACCATTTTTCTCCTACTTTTGTCTTTTAGAGCTAAGTCTACTTGCTATGTCCCAATCCTTCCATCCTTATATCCTCCACTTGTCTTTTCTTTTTTAAATTTCAGATTAAAATGGGAGTACATTTTAATTTTTGCATTTGTTAGGTAAAGTCCCAGTTGTACGTGAGCCCTGCACCCAGGGAGTGTGCTGTAAAACCTCACATTGTCCCTACTCCGTGAGAGTTCACCAACCCCCCTCTCTCCTTTTCTCTGTTCTCTCTCCTCTCCCTTCTATCCCACTCAAAATCAATTGTGTTTTTCTCTCCTGTGGGCATGTAGTTGTTATCTGTTGGATACATATTAGTATCGAGTACATTGGATACTTGCTTTTTCATTTGTGTGATACTTTATAAGGAGAATGTGGACATTTGCACTAGAATGTTCATCACAGCCCACTTGTCCTTTAAAACTCGCTTCCTCTGTAAGCTCGCTCTGCCTCCCCCACACAGTGCTGGGAACTTCTTCTCAGGGCTTCCACAGCCCCCAACCCTTATAATTCTCCCTCAGTCCTTCTCAAAGTATGCTTCCTGCACCAGCAGTCCAGGAAACTTGTTAGAAATGCAAATTCTTATCCTCACTGAATCAGAGCTGAAGAGGGGACGGGCAGCAATCTGGATATGCATGCTTAAGACTGAGAACCACTTGTCTAAATTCTATCTGTGTATCATACCATTCACTTCTCTCTCTCCTCAAGTTGACTGATTTTAGGGCAGAGATTCATTTCTTTTTGTGTCCCTAGTGTTTGGTACTGTAGACAGAATCTCTGTTTGCTGAGTTCTCCGTCTCAGAGTTGAAGAATGAACCCACAGACCATGTAAATAAGTGACAGGACAGAATTTATTGAAAGATAAAAGATAGATAGGTAAGGAAGCCTCCATGTGGTGAAGGGGGACCCAAGTGGGCAGCCCACATGGGGGGGCTTTCTGACTGGGGGTTTATGGACTACTTTTCCTATCCTGTGAGCAGGAGATTTGGGGAGATGGAATGTATGTCTGCAATATATCAGAACACTTGGCACAAGGCTTTGGGAATAAGTTAATTTCAAAGCTGCCATAGTGTGAAGGGCAGAAGTTAATTTCAAATCTGTCTTAGTGCAGAGTAATGCAGTCGTTGCTTTAAGCTAGTTCTTCTCTACCCTGGGAGAGGCCGGTGGGTGTTCCCTGCTCTGGAAGGGGCAGCCCAGAGGAGATACTGGTCAGGGTGCTTTTCATGAACTTGTTTGTGTTCATAGAATGTGACCTACAAAGGGTCTATTTGTGCTTAGTGATGGTGTCTGTGATGAGATTGATTTCCAAGCTCACCCAGGCCTAGAAAATGTGGGGTCCCTGTCCAGCTCTGAGCAGAGGAACCCGGTATCAGTACCATCTCCAGTATGTGGGTTAAAGTGGTTAAGTGCTCGTTAAATGAAGGTATGCATGCTGCATACAGTTCTACTGACTTCACAGAGCAATGTAACTACAGAATAAATACACATATTATAGATACCAATTTCTATCAGTGCACCAAGAAATGCCCAAAGTTTGTACAAGGAAATGCACAAAGCTTGCTATTTAAAGGAAACAGGAAATCAATAATATTATTCTATTATTCTAAAATGGAGATTTCATTTATGATGTGACAATAATCCTCATTCATATATTTTAAAATTAGAATATTCAATGCCAACTTTTCTTCAAGTGGAAGTGAATTCACGTGCTTTGTCACCACTTTGGAAAGAAGAACATCTCCTAGAAGACGCTGATCACCCACCCCAACCTTGTCACCAGGGATCTACTTTGCTTGGCCCACTCAGTGCAGCTGGAAGCATGTGGGGCTGTGGCTTTCCAGCTGACTATGTGAGCTGGGATTGCCGCATGGAGAGACAATGTGTGCTCCCAGATACTCCATGGTGGGGAAGTCATCTGGTGCAGATCATCATTGGAAAAACCCTCCCAAAGCACAGGATATTTGCAGGAAAAGTGCCTCTTACAAAATGCAAAAAGAGGAATTTCTGGATTTGTCATCTATGGTTTTAGAGAAAGAGAGAAGAAATATTTCTTTCATAGCACATGGTCAGAATTACTATACAAATAGACTTTTTGGATTTGCACAGAAAAAAGCCCCATCTTAGAAGCTTTGGATACACTGTTGTGAGAAGTGTATCCAGCAGATGAGGGGACTTGCCTTTGGACACCATCTTGGTGCCAGGTCACCTGACACAAACTTATTTGAGTTTCCTTCAGTGTTTATCCCATAGGTTTATTACATCTTTATAATATCAACCTTTCCTGTTGATGTTACTTTATAATAAAAGCACCTGTTACAACGAATGGACAACAGACACATGAAAAATGCTCATTGTCTCTAATCATCAGAGAAATGCAAATCAAAACCACTCTGAGATGTCACCTAATTCCAGTGAGATTAGCAACATCACAAAATCCCAATGTGCAGATGCTGGTGTGGATATGGAGAGAAGGGAACACTTCTACACTGCTGGTGGGACTGAAAGCTAATACAACCTTCATGGAAAGAAGTATGGAGAATTCTTAAAGATCCAAAAGTTGACCTTCCATTTGATCCTGCAATTCCATTACTAGGTATCTACCCAGAAGAACAAAAATCATTTTATAACAGTAATATTTGCACCAAAACATTTACTGCAGCTCAATTCACAGTTGCCAAGTCATGGAAACAACCCAAATGCCCATCAACCCATGACTAGATTAACAAACTGTGGTATATGTACACCATGGAGTACTATTCAGCCATAAGAAAAGATGAAGACTTTACATCTTTTGTATTTACCTAGATGGATTTGATCAGTAGAATATCTCAAGAATGGAAAAAATAATCCAATGTGCTCGATACTAATTTGAAACCAATATGTAAACAACTATGCACCCATATGAATGACAAAACACAAATATTGTCTAGTAAGGGGAAGGGGAGAGGAGAGGGGAGGAAGGTGGGCAACTGGTGAGATCCCACCTAATGTGCATTATGTGGGGGGTGTTCAGCACCCCTCCTGGGTGAGGGGCTCAACTAAACTTGAACTTTACCTTAGAATCAAAGACAATGTAATCTAAAAATTTGTACCTTCTTATTATTTTGAAAGAAAAAAAGCACTTGTAAGCTACCTTGTATCTCTCCCCCTGCCCCCAATTCATATGTTGAAGGCCTAAGCCCAGAATGTGACCTTATTTGGAGACAGAACCTGTAAAAAAAGGTAATTAAGGTAAAATGAGATCAGTAAGGTGGGCCTTAGTCCAGTGGCAATGAGAACACACAGGGACACCATGGATGTGTGTTCACAGAGGACAGACCAGGTGAGGACCCAGTGAAAAGACAGACATGTGCAAGTCAAGGAGAGACAGGCCTCAGAGAAACCAAACCTGTCAACACCTTGGACTTCCAACATCCAGAATGGTGAGAAAATAAATTTCTGTTGTTGAAGCTCCCCAGTCTGGAGTACTTGTTTTGGCCGCCCTAGGAAATGAGCATAGCAGCCTTTGGCGTTCTCCCGTGCCATGGCCTGTAGATGTGGGAACCACCATTCAATGTGTCCATTATTTCCTTCATACTTGTTTCCTTATACTACATTTCTTCTTTTTCCTTCTTGGATTTTTCTCCCCACTTGTCTTTTGCCTTTTCGCTTTAGTTCCAGGTAGCACTTAACGTGAGAGCTACAATATTCCAGGCTTATTTAAGGAGAGAAGGAGAAGCATGCTAGTTCTGCAACTCCACCTCAGCCCCCTCTCCTACCCATCCCCATCCCAAGGGGGGCTGTGTGCATGCATCCAGGGAAGTTCAGAAAAGCACTGGAATTTCTAGTGAATTTCTAATTTTGTATCAGATCCTTTTTAGTTTCTATATTTGTGGATATTTAATGACTTCACAGAGCATATGATTAAAATAGTTTAGAAAACATTAAATTTTCATTAGTTATTCATAGAAACAGACTATTCTGCCTCTGATTCTCTACAAAATTACTTAATATGGGGTGTCTAATCTCATATTTTCAAGATGAACAAGAAAACAAATAATGAAGCTTCTCAGAAGAAATGGCACACAAATGCAGATAAATATATTTGTCTTCAAGTTGGAAATAATAATACCTTTCCCATGAGAGTTACACGCAGGAATAATTAGATCACCTTTGCAAAATGTCTGAGAATATTTCAAGGCAATGATTATCATGGTTCATCATTATTTCCCTTCACTTAGGATTGTTACTGGGCTTCCCTCTCATTATTTAATTGCTTATGCAAAATGCTGGGTCCTCTGGTTACACTCTCGTTTTTGAAAACACAATTTAATCTTGCCTTCTGAAATTAGCTTCATGATCACATGATCAGTTAAGGCAAAATAAGTGTGTGTGTG